CAACTCCCGCATGGGTTGGTGGCTATGCACAACCCACAACTAATTGAACCATTCACCTTGAGCTGAGTGGCGCGACTGGACTTGGAGCTGAGCTTGCTGTTCCCTCCACAACTAAGATTGAAGGACAACAACATGGCTGTTCCCCTTCCCCAATTACCCAACACTGTTCCTCTTCCCTAACTCCCCAATAAAATCTTTTTGTAAATAAATAAATAAATAATAAAAAATGAGAACATAAAATGGAATTCCAGCAAAAAGCTAACTGAAGCGTATGTTGTGTGAAGCTCCTGAGCATATGCTGTGCAGTGCATGAAGTGGGCTTCAGGGGGCCATTACTGGGGTCCTTAACTGTTGTCAACTGTAGATGTTTAAGGAAGCAAAAGTTGAGTCCAAATAACAATAAATAGCTAATTTCCAGTCAAGATGGCAGAGTAGGTAAACACTGTGCTTGCCTCTTCTCTCAACCACATCAAAATTATAACTAAACTACAGAACAACCATCATTGAGAATCACCTGAAGTCTAGCTGAACAGAAGTCTTCCAACTAAAAAGATAAAGAAGAAGCTACCACGAGACTGATAGGAGGGGCCGAGATGCGGAAAAGGCTGTCCCCACACCCACAAATGGCTGTAAAAATCTGGAGGGATATCTCAGCTGTTCCCATGAAGAGCGAGGGATCCCAGCCCACATCAGGCTCCTCAGCCCAGGGTTCCAGTGCCAGGGAGAGAAGTCCCCATAATTCCCAGGTGTGAAAACCAACAGAGATTGGGACTGAGTGAGACAAAGGCAGTTGCTGACCCAGACGCTCCTCCTAAAAGGGCCCACACGTGGACTTACTCACTGATGGACTCACTCGCTCTGAGCTCCAGCAATGGGGCAGCAGCTCGAAAGGTGACAGGGACATACGGGGAAGAATTCAGTTGTCTGGCTTTAGAGCAAGGGCTGGAGGGGCAGCTTTAGTCCAGACAGAAGTACTGGTGGAGACCATAGTTTCTTTGTTGAGCACTCCCTCCACCCAGCAGGCAGACACAAGCCGGTCCCATATCTGAGTCTCCGTCAACCTCTTTTACACTGTTCACCTCAACCTGATGATTCCCTAAAACCCTGCTCCACCCAAACTGCAGGCCCACCCAAGCCGCTTCCAGTGGTGTTTCTGTACAAACAGCCTGTCTTGGCTCATGCTTCGGAATTTCCTAAAATCTCTCAAAGATTCACAAAAGACAAAGAAACAGGATCTGGCCTCAATGTGCCCCATCCCTCTTGCTAAGCAGCTCCAAGCCTGGCATTGGTGGCAGTGGGCCTCAGTTCCCAGCTTAGCCCCTCCCAGGCACCCCCATGCCCAGCATGGATGGCATACATATGCGGATTTCTTTGTGGCTTGCTCCAGGTGGCCCTGGGCAGGGCACAAGCAGAGGATGAACTTGACCTGCAGCAGGGCCTCTCTCAGGATGACATACCCAAAGGGCAGGCACCAGAGCCCTGCTAAAGCGAATCCTGCTCCATAGCGTCAGCCCCTGCACAACAGTAGTCATGGCCAGTCCTCACAACCAATCAGCCTGAGGATCAGCCCATCCTACTGACGTCCAAACAGCAACTAAGGCTCAACTACAACAGGAGGGCACGCACATCCACACAAGGGACACACCTGCAGCACCCGGCTCTGGTGATCAGGGAGATTGCACTACTGGGCCCCACAGGACACCGACTACATAAGGCCACTCTACTAAGACTGGGAAACATAGCATCTCTACCTAATACGTAGAAACAAACACAGGGAGGCAGCTAAAATTGGGAGACAAAGAAACATGTCCCAAATGAAAGAGAACAAAGCTCAAGAAAAAAAACTAAACAAAATGGAAACAAGCAATCTACCAGATGCAGAGTTCCAAACACTGGTTATAAGGATGCTCAATGATTTCAGTGAAACTTCAACAACAAGATAGGAAACATAAAAATGGAGATAGAAAACATAAAAAAGAACCAGTCAGAAATAAAGACTACAATAACTGAAATAAAGAATACATTAGAGGGAATGAACAGTTGATCAGATGAAGCAGAGGTCTGAATCAGCTATTTAGAAGATAAGGTAACAGAAAACACTCAATCAGAACAGCAAAAAGAAAAAAAAAATCCAAAAAACACCGGGTAGTTTAAGGGACCTCTGGGATAACATCAGGCATACCAACATTTGCATCATAGGGGTACCAGAAGTAGAAGAAAGAGAGCAAGAAATTGAAAACCTATTTGAAGAAATAATGGCTAAAAACTTCCCTAACCTTTGAAGTAAATAGATATACCAGCCCAGGAAATACAGAGTCCCAAACAAGATGAATCCAAAGAGGCCGACACCAAGACACATGATAATTAAAATGCCAAAGGTTAAAGACAAAGAGATCATCTTATCAGCAGCAAGAGAAAAGCAGTTAGTTACCTGCAAGGGAGCTCCCATAAGACTGTCAGCTGATTTGTCAACAGAAACTTTTCAGGCCAGAAGGGGTTGGAACAAAATAGTCAAAGTGGTGAAGAGTAAGCGACTACAACCAAGACTACTCTACCCAGCAAGGCTATCATTTAAAATTGAAGAAGAGATAAAGAGCTTCCTAGACAAGAAAATGCTAAAGGAGTTCATCACCATCAAACCAGTATTGCAAGAAATGTTAAAAGGACTTCTTTAAGAAGAAGAAGAAAGGGGAGGAGGAGGAAAAGGAGAAAGATAAAAATTATGAATTGTAGGGCCAGCCGAGTGGCGCATTGGTTAAGAGCTGGCTTGGGATGCCAGAGGGCCTCGGTTCAGATCCCACATATGAGGGCCAGTGACACTGCCCTCTACAGCTAAGATGCTGAACAACAGCTCAACCTGGAGCTGGGCTGCCGTGAGTCGCCGGCGACGGTGTAGGCTGCAGCCCCTGTGGCAGTGGGTTGCCATGGGCTACCGTGTGTAGCCAGCAGCCGCAGTGAGCGGCCGTCCAGAAGCCGGGGACTGTTCTGCCTCACCTGGGAAGAGCGCAATGATGGTGCCAACTTGGGCCAGTGAAGCAACGTCCTCCACAACTAGACTGAAGAACAAAAGGACAGCAACTTGTCTGTGCCCTTTTCCCCAATTCCCCAGAGCTGTTCCCATCCCCCAATTCCCCAATTAAAAAAAAAAATCTTAAAAAAAAAAAAGAATTGTAAAATGGCAGTAATTACATATATATCAATTACTTTCAATGTAAATGGATGAAATGCTCCAATCAAACGACATATATATGGTGACTGAATAAATAAGAAAACAAGAGCCTTACATATGCTGCCTACAAGAGTTCACTTGAGATTGAAAGACACACAAAGACTGAAATTAAAGGGACAGAAAAATATATTTCATGAAAATGGAAACAAAAAGAAAGAAAAAAAAAAGCTGGGGTAGCAATACTTGTACCAGACAAAACAGATTTTAAATCAAAGGCTATAGTGAGACAAAGAAGGACTAAGTAATCCCACTTCTGGGTATTTATCCAAAGAAATCCAAAACACTACTTTGAAGGGACACATGCATGCATATGTTCATTGCAGCATTATTATTATTATTATTATTATTATTATTATTATTATTTTAGCTGAGCCATCCTGCCACCTGTTGGCAGCTCAGCGGCTGCTCAGCTTGGGCTGGGAATCAAACCACTGTTGCTCAGAGCTCGCACTCTTGAGCGAGCTCTTAATAACCAACTGAGCCACTCGGCCGGCCCCATAGCAGCATTATTTACAATAACCAAGATATGGTGGCAACCTGGGTATACATAAATGATGGAATAGATAAAAAAGATATGCTATATTGATTTTATATATATATATATATATATATATATATAGAATATTACTCAGCCATAAAAAAGGATGAAGTATTTCCATCTGCAATAACATGGGTGTATCTAAAGTGTATTGTGCTGAGTAGAGTAATCCAAGCAGAGAAAGATAAATGCCATATGATTTCACTTATATGGGGAATCTAAAGAAAATAAACAAAATAGAAATTCATAGACAAAGAGAACATTTAGGGGTTGCCACGTGGGAGGGGGGTTGAGGGGATGGGTGAAAAAAGGTGAAGGGGTTAAGAAGTACAAATTGGTTGTTACAAAATAGTCATGGGTCTGTAGTGTACAGCATGAGAAATATAGTCAATAATGTTGAAATAACTATGCATGGTGCCTGGTGGGTAAACTTATGGGAGGGGGGGAGAGGGTAATCACTTTGTAAATTATATAAATGTCTAACTGTTATGCTGTACACCTGAAACTAATATAATATTGTATGTCAACTGTAATTGAAAAGCTTTTAAAATTATTTTTAAAAATAATAATAACATTGTAACTGAACCAAAGGAAGTAGAGAGATGCTAATATACCCTCTCTTTGCAGGAAGTAAACCAATTAATTGTGCACTTTTTCGAGATTTGATCATCTGAGATTTATTAATGAGGCCCACTGCTGACTGGGTAGAGTAAGGAAATTTATATGTAATACAGCAATGAAATAAATGGTTAATTAGGGAATGAAACTACTCCAAATTGAAATGCATTGAATTTATAACAAATGTCCCTAAAGCTACAAAAATTTTAAAATATAAAGAAGGGAGATTCAGAAGAAATGAATTCATTCATAATAGTTAACTTTATCAAGAATAGTCTAAAGAAGTGCAAAGTATTTAAAATTCCTGAAAGTTGCCCAATTCCTTATTCTGAATAATTTGTTGATTTCTAAAGTCTCTCTTCTGAATCCATCATGATTTTCTTAAAAAGAAAGGGAAAAAAAACAAAAACAGAAAACCCTGCTCTTTCCAAAAGATCTGGAAAGGCTTTGAGCGTCACTGTTTCCCTAATAACAGTTCAACTTCAGCCTGTGTTCCTGCGGTTAATGAGCTTACACACTCCTGCAGGGAAAAGGCTGAGCCATCCTGAGGGACTACAGCTTGGCCAAATGCTCCCAAGCAATTAAAGGCTGATTAAATGTTTATCTTCTTTGCAGGTGGGAAGGAAAGAATGAAAACGAAGTGGGCAGATGTAAAGAGACCGGTAAAGTTCACGTGACTGTGGATCTCAAATACTATCGACCAACAGAAGTGGTAAGGAGTCCTGGCCCCCCAGCATGTGGCCGCTTTTGGCCAGTTGGCTGGGAAAATACTGTCACTGAATGCCCGAAGCCGGCCTTCAGAGCTCTCCACTGGGCTCACTGGCATCCTTCAGTGGGCACTTCCCAAACCAGAATACAGTGAGTTGAATTTCAGATGTTATTCTCACCGTAAAATCCATTGCTTTAAAAAGAAAAACAGGGTAAAACACACCCAATGAAATAGTTGGTTTCAGAAATGGAGACTCGTATCATTGAGTCTCATTGTGTTAGTCTTCTGCTTTGACTGCCGGTCCCAGATACCTACAGGGTATCTAACTTACAGGGACCTCCACAACCTGCAGGATCTCGAGATCTGGGGGGCTTGCCTACCTCCCCAGTGCACACACACATACTCACACACATACACAAATGTAAGTCATAAATGGTCTCCCTACACACTTGTTAACACTCAGCTCAAGTGAATGCTTTTCTGGACAATAGACTACTAGCACTGAAATTTCTACTCCTTCCTCTGTGTCTCCATTGTACACTGCACATAATTATAACACCTATTATAATTTATTATACTTATTTGCTTACAAGTCTTTCTCCTTTTACCAAACTGTGAACTCTTTTAGGATAAGGAGGTGTTTTTAATATCTTCAAATATAACAAAGTAGGTGCTTAATAAATATTGATTGATGGATAGATGGATGGATGAATAAATGCATGGATTTATAAATACAGAGGTTCCTGTATTAAGAAATGACCTATAGATTATTAGGACATAACATCCTCTTTTCCTAAATTTATTCAACCTTTCAGCTTGGTGTTGTCACTTTAATGTGGTTCACGTTCACTCTGGTGACAAAACTCAACATGTTAAGTATACCTGAAGATAACAGAAAGCAGACTCTTCAGAGAGAAATGTTCAGATCTGATGGTTACCTAATAAAATGTACATTAACTATGAAAATAGAATCCTTTGAACCTGTTTTACCTGTGTTTGAACCAAATTCCTATGTGTTGTACAACCTTTCAGAGATTATAGGAAAACCCCAGTGAAGAGAGATTGAAAGTGCATATGTCATCAGTAATCACACTTTAAAATGTCTTGTTTCAAACAAAAGAAAAACTTCATTTCATGCACTCTTACACACAGGAGGAAATAAAAAGGAAAGGAAGTAAGCAGTGCTTAGAGACAGGCCGTAGAGTCTCGGCATTGCCCTGCGCTACAGGGCGTGGCCGGGTCTGGGACGCACAGAGAACAATGGCTCCCTGTGCTAATGGCTCGTGGGTGTGCCAAGGAGAGGATGTGCTGTGTCTCCGGGGGAGGAAGATAGGGCACACTCTTGCTGACACAGCAAGGAGGCCTGTCTGTAGAGCCCCCAGCCAGACTGCATTTGTTTCCCTGTCTTGGAGGTGCCACAGGGTGTCACTTTTCTGGAATGTTGCACGATCACATAAAGGGGCAAATTTGTTTCTGTGCTAACAAAAATTGTCATCTCAGAGTGGAAAATTTACTGAGACAACAGAAACCTCAATCCTTATAACAATTTCAACACGGTTCTTTCTCTTTCTGACACCGAATAGTTTCAAAAGCTAGGAAGTCATTAAGAATGGCTTGTCTGTCATTCTCACTTAGGCAAGGTGTGGGATTGATAAGCACACAGAACAAAAGGATTTGCTGAACAGGAAAGGACCCTTGGACTAACAAGACAGTTCTTGAAGTCACTCCCTATCAGCCCCTTTCCTGTCCTGACACTGCATCCCTCATTTCTTTAGTTCATTCAAATGTCATTATCATACCTGTTCTGCAACTCCATCTACACTAAAGTTGTTTGAACATAAGAGTGGTGTCTTATTTCATAATCTTGCTTTATTTGTTCACTGATCTAACTCTCACCCCAAATTCCCTTTACTGCTTGATTTTGGATGTTTAACTGCGTTTCATCCTTCTAAGCCTCTAGGCTGCATTAATTTTGCTCACTCTACTTCAACTGAGTTTTCTGTTGGGCAAGATTTTCTTGTACAGTGAGACTAAACTTTTAACCTCATTCCTCAGAACAAGGAGTTTTCCCCAAACTTGGATCAGCTTGACAGCCTTATATTGAATTGCCTCAGGGGTGGTAGTATTCTTCCAGTTGAAAGGTGACCTGTACTGAACACTGACATAAACAAGCTTTCACTTAGGTGTGGGCCTTAATAGCCAACACATCTAGAGAGACCTGAAAACCACCAAGATTCTCTGAGGTTTATTAGCACTTACTGTAAGGGAGACATGGAATTCTCCCTGGTCTAAACTGTATCCTTGCCCACCCAGTGTCTAAGCTCATCCAGCAAGTGCCACAGGCTTCTCTTCATTCTTGCTCAGATTCTATTAGATAAAAGCTTATTGTCCTGATGAGCTTCCGTCATGTGTATTTCCCCAAGATCTTCAGCACACAGGGCACTCAAAGCCAGGCGTTTACACTAGACCTTTTGAGAGTCAGATGGTTCCAGAATGACTGATGGGAAAAAAGCATAAAGAAAATTTGAAAATAAAAAAGTGATAAGCACATATCAAGTCTCGGAACACCAATATCCTAAAGCAAGACAAAAGGGAAATAGAGCTTTATGTCTTTTTTTTAATAAGATTCAGACAACTCTTAAGAAAGGCTCTTTGCTCCACATAGGCCAGCACTAACCCAAAAGAGGCCACCCCGCGTCCACATAGAGCATACTGCCACGTGCGCCAAGAATCATTGTCCTCATTGCCCCTTAACTCCTGCTTTGTGCCAACATAAAGAGGCTTGAACGTTTTTGTTCTGAGCTATGGACTCTGGCATCCAGTTAGAGCCGAATGGAGTCATAATTTTTGCTTCTCTATCTATAAGCCTCTGGGTTTCCTTTGAACATTTAGGACTTTTGCTACTGTGGAGAGTTTAATCATGAACATTAGACTCTGAATTTCTCATTGCCCCTGAATTCCAGTATTTTGTGATGGTGTTATTAATACTCGAGTTCTGTGCCTCTGAAAACTCCTGTCTTGTGTATAGTTTTTTGTATGTGCATATGTTTACACACGATTCCTTGCATTGTGCATTCATTCATAAAGAAGTAGGGTTGTGCTTAAGTGTGGCCCAGGACCAGACTGAATTATCAATTACTAGCTGCATGACCTTGGGCAAGTTACTTACCTTCTCAGTGCCTCTGTTTCCTCCTCTCTAAAAATGGGATTGATGATAGAAATTCTTTCAGAGAATTGTTAGAGAATAATAGTCAAGTATACAAAATGCTTATTAGAACAGTATCTGGCACACAGTAAAATACCCAGTATTGATGCTGTTATTGTTATTTATTTATGCATTCATTCATCAGATATTTACCAAACATTCTGTTAGACCCTGGGAATACAGTATGCACAAGACAGACACATCCCCTGCCCTTGTGGAGACTAGATATAGAGGTCTATATCTATACTTAAGTCTAGTACCTTTTGAAAAGTAAAATGACATCACTGGTGAACTGTATAGATTAAGCAATAAAAAGTAGATTAGGTATAATGAAGGCTACTAGCAAACATTAATGTTCTTTGACTTTTTTATTCTTGTTTTATCTTGATTTCCCTCCTTTTTGACCCTATTTCTAAAGATTAAATAGCTATTCAGTGGTATGGAAGCATCACTTAATTATAAGAAAATTTATACTGAACTATTAATTACTTTAAAATAACCACAAAGGTGTCTATTTTGTTTGAGAATTTTTAACTTGGAAAATTTACAGAGGTTGGGTTAATGAAGTATTCATCCTAATATGCCAAATTTTTAAGCACACCAAATGGTCAATCCACTTTATAAAAAAAGGTAAGGTTTTTTTCAGTGAAACAAACTAAAACTCTTTTTTCCTGCAGAGCATTTTAGGAAATGGCATGGCAGACACACTCACAGACAAAAGTGAAATCATGTATTTTCATAAAAAATGTCTTGATTTAAACTCTACTTGATAATGCGAACTAAATTTTTTCTTGCTATATTATTTGTCTTTAGCATTCATTTTTATTTCATTGTATTTCTAATGTCCTCAGTTGTGATTGGTTTTTGTTTTATTTGCTTAGATACTTTATATTTATTCCCATTCTTTATAGATATTAGAAAAAAATCATGACTGAAAACCTAGAATTGAGAAAACAGTAACTTTAAAGGAGTCCAACAAGCTAAAAACAACACCTTCCTTCAGTGAAAACATGTGGCCTAATTCTAATAAAAGTACCATATGCTTGTCGAGTTATCCCCTTTGCAAACTTTTCCTAATATTTTTCTGTAAATGAGGTTAAGTTAATTGGCCCATAATTGCTTGCTCTATCTCATAGCCCTAGAATAATGCTATGTAACACTTTCCAGACCTCAGGAATCTGATCTGTCATCAGAGGACTTGTATAAATACCAGTTAGAGCTTCCCTCAGTTTCATCTTTGTGTATTGGGGGTCTTGAAACTGTCCCCTTTTACTCCCTGTTCTCACCACCTTCTCACACTTCCACTCCTGTAGCAAGAAATTAGATCCTCTCCACTCCATCCCTTCATCTTCTCTGGCTCTGTTAGAAGCCAGCTGATCTCCCTGTCCTGATCCTTCTGACCTCTAAGGCTCTAATCCTACCAGCCCCTCCTGCTTTTCTTTGTTCCTTGTTTTGACTGGTGGGAGCTGGGAGAAGGAGGATTCAGAGAGAGCAAATTAAGGGCAAGTCCCTTTCTTCCTGCATTTCTGGATCTGTAAAAGGAGAGGCTGGACTAGTTGTTCTGTAAGGTCCCTTCCAATGTTCATATCCTATCATTCCTGCTTTTGTGACTACGAGACCACAACAGTATGATACCCTGTCACTAATGCCTCATCAGAATGCTTCCTCTTTTGTAATTGTTCTCTGAACTTTTTACTACTTGTATTTATAAATAGTTTATATCTCTAAATCACTGTTTATATATTTTTGAGCCTCCCTCATAGACTCTTCATACTAATCTTTATATCCTTCCTTAATCACATTGGCCTTTCCCGCCCTTTTCCTTCTTTGGGCTTAACCAAGAGAGCTTTAAGTTTCAGTTTCTTTGGTTGGTTCTTAAATATTCCACTGTATGTTTTCCATACTTCATGGGATCCTATACCAACCCCCAGGGGAGGATAACAT